GAAGGCATCGAAAACCAAATCATTCTAGACTATTCCTACGTTCGCCAATACTCATCGACTGAACATAGTTCAAAGCCAGAAACGAGTTAGCACCTGAAAATGCTTCCTTACGAGTTACTAAGGTTTCTCTTTGAACAGCCCAAAGTTAGAAGCTATCAATGGGTTATGTTTTGAATCAAACAATCGTTGTAATAGTTTAAAAGTTCATGTATTTAAGTTTGTATGATCTATTGGAAACGATTAGAAACGTAATCGATCTAGAAGATAAGTATCTATTAGACAAATCCCGCGGAACCGATCTGCATGACAGGCTATATTTGCGACGTCGTATCTCAGTAAGGCTTTTATGTGTGCATCTTTGCTCATCCACTTAAGATGGATAATGACAGGCTCTATAAAATAGTAAATTCAAATTCAAATAAAAGCCTCGAGCAAATTCAGCGAATGAATTGCATTATTGACTAATCGTTATTTTTTAGTATACGATGTGTAAAGTTTTGGTCCTATTAGAACAGAGGAAATTTAAGAAATTCCAAAGGGCTTCCAATATATAGCAGACATATGACTCTATATAACTGTATCATAATTAATGGATATCTTTGTATCTTTAATTGTGAAACATACATTTGAATCATATAGTTCAATTAGTGATACTCACGTATTTCACATAATTTGTGATAGCTGTTACGTGGGGACTACTTGTTTTCAATCGTAAGTCAAGGTGCAGTTAAATTCACAACCATAGTAGTCTTAATGTTAGCTACGATTTAGTTTCAGACCCTAGGGGGAAACGGCAGACTTGAAGTAGAAAAGTACAACAAAGTACAAAATTAGTTTAAAGTACTTCAAAGTAGATCAAAGTAGGTCAAAGTAGCTTAAAGTAGCTTAAACTAGCTCAAAGTACTTTAAAATTACGTTAAATTACGTTAAAGTACTTTAAAATTACGTTAAATTACCTTAAAGTACTCTAAAATTACGTCAGAGTACTTCAAAGTACGACAACGTACTTAAAATTACGTCCAAGTGCTCCAAAGTGTTCTGTTTTGGGAAAAGTTTCACAGAAACAGAATAAAATTGTTCTGTTTTTGAGAATGGATTCCCAGAAATAGAACAGTTTTGTTCTGTTATGGGATTGGTTCCCAAAATAGAACAAAAATGTTCAGTTATGGGAATGGGTTCCCAGAAACAGAGCAAGTGTTCTGTTTTGAGAATGGATCCCAGAAAAAGAACAAAAGTGTTCTGTTATGGGAACTCAAAGTAGTCAAAGTAGCCCAAAGTACTTCAAGTGGCTGTAAGTACTTCAAAGTAGCTCAAAGTAGCTCAAAGTACCTGTAAAGTAGCTCAAAATACGCGAGAAGTAGCTCGAAGTACTTCAAAGTAGCATAAAGTAACTTGAAGTGCAAAAGTCTGCCGTTTCCCCCTAGTTCAGACCTCACAAATCGATTTTGTCGCGTGGCTGTTCACCGTGGAGAGGAAGAAGGAAATGATCAAAAAATATTTTGACAAAAATATCTGCGTGATGGTTAGTCATTTAAGAACAGTACTATTTAGAGATATTCAGCATTGGTTAATAAAAATTTCCAGCTGCTCATTCAAGTAGTAGGTCTCTGTTTATGTTGAGTATTATGAGGAGCAAATAGTTGGATTCAAATTAGTCGTCCAATGTCAATCTAAATAGATAATTGAAAATTATAAATTTAGATTCATTAGGAACAGCAGCGCGATTAACAAGGGGGAAACAGCGGATTTGAAGTAGAAAAGTACGTCAAAGTACACTACTTGAAGTAGCTCAAAGTACCATTCAAGTAGTCCAAAGTAAGAAAAAGTAGCTTAAAATAACTTCAAGTAAATTTTAAGTAGAAAAGTACGTCAAAGTAAACTACTTGAAGTAGCTTAAAGTAACTTAAAGTAGCTTCAAGTAGCTCCAAGTAACTTCAAGTCCAAAAGTCCGCTGTTTCCCCCTTGGGAATTAATCTGATGTATTGATAATAATAGGGCATAATACTCGATCAATCAATATGCGCTTCTTCAAAACAACATAATAACTATTCTACCGATGAAAAGTTTAGCAATATACTATGTTTACTTTTTGAAATACCAGAAATAAAATTTCTTTTAAACTCTGTTCTAAAAACCATTTGTTACATAAAACTTTTTTCAGTATTTACGTAAACAAAAAGAAAATGCAGAGACGTATAAGGACAAAAAACAACAGCTATTTAAATCATTTAGCAGCTGTGGACTTTATTTAAATACTGATCGGCACTCTTTGAATTACAATGGTTTTATTTTAAAGTCACGAAATTTTAAATAATTAGATGTAGTAAATAGCTAGCTAAACAAAATAGTTACGATCATGTTGTAAAAGCGCCATATTTTAAATAGGTATGAGTCTTTAAACAGTTATGAAGATTTATTTAAATAGCTGAATGTTTATTTAAAAATTATCTCTTTTGAGAAGCTGCATCACCTACAAATGGAGTTTCAAGGCAAGAAAATGCTCTTCTCGCGACGAAAAGATTCAAACCCATAGGTATTCGCTGCATGCCTGTCACTTAATTTTAGGCAAATTAAGTAATAAAGCTAAACCTAATTTTCAGTTAAGTGAAATGGTCCATCCATAAATATAATCCCAAGATAGTTCTCAGAAGGTCAGATGTACTACTGGTTGGTAAGTGAAGTTAGAAATTTTGCTTATTGTTACATTTATCTATTGGAGAAATGGTTCTGAAAATATTATGATATGTTACATCGTAATCAGTATAATTTGGGGTTAGAAAATCAACTCTACATTTGAAGTATTATAATTCACTTTACTTTACTTTCCCCAGTAAAGTAAAGTTAATTACTTTATTCGTTAAAGTAAAGATGAAGTACCACCCCTAGTTTTTACACTAAGTTATTTCAATTTTAGATCATAGAACTTTTCACTTAGATGATGAATAAATTTGGCATGAGTAATGGAAAAAAGACGTCATCGAAAGTTGTCAACATAAAGAATGTATTTCTTCTGGAAATGGCAGAACATATAGGCACACATCGATGCAAACAAACTTATATCGATGGTGGGAAATATCCCATAGTACAGGATAGAGAAAAATAAAGACGACTGATGTTGTTGAAAATACACATAATATATGGCTGATGTGCTCTTACGTCTTGTCTATGCACTGGTTACTTACAATTTATTGACTAGGAAGTATTATTCGCACATAAAGCGGTGAATTGTATCAAAAAACAAATTAGTTTTACTTAGGGCATACCAAAAGTAAGGGTGTTGAACATCTCATGGAGAAAAAACTTCTCTATTTTTCTATGCTATTTGATCATACTTCAACTAATATCATAATAATAAAATTTCAATAAGCTCTATTTTTTTATCATATGCGATGGCTATACTAATGCCTATTCAGTGAATATTTTTAGAATAGCTTTTGATAAAAATAAGATAGAGAGCTGCTGTTTTTACCGTTCGAAAGAGGAAATTAAGACGCGTCGAATTTTATTATTTGTTTATAGGCATGGCTTTTTAAAGGTTTTTAATCGACTTCTTTGAAAACAAAGCTACTCCAATAAGGTGTTTACAGTGAATTCTCAATTGCCAGGTGTGTATTCAAACTGTCGATGGAAGACCTACAAAACTGAAGAAGTTTCAAATAGTTTGAATTAATCATTCAGAAGTTATAGATGTTCTAATCGAAGCTCTAAGTGATATTTCTAGCAATTTCTCTGAAGAAATAAAAAACCATTTTTTACATACTTAGAAAATTGATTGAAGAAATTTCAGATAACGTCTAGGAAAATATATAATATGCAATTCGACGCGTCTTCATCTTCGCTTTCCAACGGTGAAAACTGCAGCTCTCTATCTTGTTTCTATGAAAAATTATTTAAAAAATATACACTCGAAGAGTATAACCATCATATATGATAGAAAAAAAGATCTTATTGAAATTTTATTATAATGATATTAGTTGAAGTATGATCAAATAGCATAGAAAAATAAAGAATTGTTTTCTCTATGAGATGTTCAACACCTTTACTTTTGGTATGCCCTAAGTATTACTATTCGAAGAATCTTTTCATAATTCAATCAATTCTTTCTAATGCACAAAATTACTGTTTATCTGTTTGGTGTGTTAATGACAATTCAATTGATCGAAGGTGGTTGTGGATGTGAAGATTGGTGTCGAAAAAATGGTAAACAGTATGGGATCTGTGGTGATGGACACACCTGTATCTGTTCATCAGAGTCAATAACAGATCCAGGTAAAGTACAATGAATTTATATTGGTCTCAGTCCTTTTCATGGTTTCAGTAAGGTCAACTGATATGTCTAATAACGCAGGGAAGTAACGCACAGGGTCTTTCTTTCGCGGTACTAAAACTATTATTTTTATACTAGTTACCATAATGGTATGCGAAATGAACGCTTAGCGAAAACCGAATGTCTTAAATATAAGGTTCGATGATAGGCAGAGCTCAGTAGCCTCTTCTCTTTGAGTTTTTTATGCTTGTACTCTGCAATATGCTTATACGTATAATGTATCTTTCACTTTGAATTTATTTATTCAGAAAAGGGCTGTGGATGTGGTGCTTGGTGTCTAAAAGAAGGTTATGCTGGTGGAATTTGTGGAGATGGACACACATGTATATGTTTGTCAAAGACTAATAAGAAAAATGACGAATATATTCGAGGACAATATAAATTAACAATCATAAACAACATTGGCAGTGATTTCAATGAAACGATGCGGCTATGTGTGATTGATTCTTATTTTCAAATTTATCCTCAAATTCAACAACGTTTTAATAAGGGAGCACGAAAAAATGTAAAAATCAAAATTGATCCAAACTATGATGGTATTGCTTATACCTATAAGTAGATTTGTTTTCTCTTTGGATTTGTGAACGAAAAGTCTTGAAGAAAAGGCAGAAAACAATTGAGACTTGATTATATACATTTTTTTTAGAAACAAAAATGCATTTAGTTAACTAATATGAATTTTGTAATCGGTGGTATTTTTCGTTTAGCTAATGATGAAATTATTATCAGTGCAACACATTTAAAAGATTATCCCATATCAACAGGTGTTCTTACACATGAAATGATGCATATTGTTCAATCGTATTCAGGTGGTCAACCTGGATGGCTTGTGGAAGGTATTGCTGATTATGTAAGATGGAAATATGGTCAAGATAAGGTGGGAGGTGGTTGGCAATTACCTGATTTTAATCGTGAACAACGGTACACTAATTCATATAGAGTTACTGCGCGATTTCTAGTTTGGTTAGAACGGAAAGTTCAAAGTAATATTGTGAATCGTTTGGATCAAGGGTTGAGACAAAACTGATATGAAAATGGTAAACTCTGGATTCAAATAATCGATAAAAGTGTTGATCAATTGTGGGGTGATTATGCAAATAATCCACGCATATAAAATATTTCTTTTGAAACAAATTTTTTTTTGATTAAAAACAAGTATTTCAATGTCTTATGAAATTGATGTGAAAATAATTCGTAATTAAATGTGAATCTTTTGTGTGGCAGATTTCAGTTTTATATTCTTACAGAAAATCGTTTTCGCATTAGGCAAATAAAATCGTGCTGAGGGCATAAACATCTTTTGAGACACGTATAATGAGAAAATCAGCAGTCAATTAATGGCTGAAGTATTTGGTTTGAGCTTTTTTAGTCTTGGCTATGTGTCTTGGTGCAAGAATCTTCGCTTCCATACTGATTTGTTTTTCTCCGTCCTGTAATATTCGTTCAGTTGCTAATTATTTTAAATCAGTATGAAAAAGACAGTTGATGTCATTTACAGATACATTTCAATTTCGAACAAAACCTGTTGTGTTCTATTATTTAAGTTGTGTACGCGTAGGTCGACGCGGGTACGGCCTTAGATGTTTTCTTCACAATTCACCAAACTCACACTCCAAAACGATCTTTTACGACTGTGTCTGTTCGATCTGGATTTAACTGATCGCTTGAAATCACAAAATATAATACTCGTTGCTATGTAGTGCTCTGATGTAACTCTTAATCGACAATTGTTTCTATTCGTATATCAACAGATCTTTGTACATTTAGGCGACCGTGAGAAAGAACGGTCTCTCTGTAGTATTGACTATGGAATAAATATCAATGTTGTGCTAGTATTTTTCCGGAAAAATACTTCAAAGACAGGTATTATAATTGATATTTTATTTGCTATTGTTTGCAATTAATCCTATGAAGGACAAAACTGATAATATGATTCAACACAACGAATTTTATTCTTGTACTTAATATTTATACCTAGGTGAAAATTTAATTACCGTTAATGGGGATGATATTGTAGCATTCTCATCTCATGAAGAGAGATCATTTCGAGCGAGACTAGAATTTAGCTATAAATTGGCACACAGTCAAATAATAAAAGAAAATAATCTCAGGACAAAATTTGGTTCAATCATTGTATCTATCCATGCATATGTATATATGGTTTACATTTACAGCTTCTAAACATTTGACAGGTCATTATGAATCAATAGTTCTACAACATCTTCACTTTCATAATTTTTCATCACCATTCCTTACTGAGTCGATGCATAGCATATACAACAGTATATTCATTTTTCTATTATTATCACTTCATAAATTACATTGAGTTATGGCACCAACATTTGGGAAAGTAACGGGGTGAGGAAAGTTAGAGTAAGATTTTAAAGGTTATTGTATAAAAATAGTCTTGAGACTAAGAGTGAGAGAAAGTGATGCTGAGGGTGAGAAGTCAGTCAATATGACGATCTAATTTGATATTTGGCTATCTAGCCAGCCCTCGACTATTCTGCTATCGTGACTAGTGGTAATACTGAATTACATATAATTAGCTTTATAAGTTTAGACGTCACTTTATTCTTGTCAAATCTCTGCACTAATTCCATTTGCAGTAAAGAATAATGATCAATGAGAAAGAAGTTAAATGAATTTTACTCATTCTTTACGAATGTTGAGTTACCAAGTTCAACTTTCAAGTCTTGTGATCCATCTGAAGAAACTGGGAATATCTCTGTATTTAAATCGAATATCAGGCCATATGAATATTTTATTTGAAGGGAACTAAACTAAAAGCACAAAGCATGAGAATAACATTCATTTCGCCTAATATATATTTTTTTATTATAAAAGCTATAATATCTTATGAGTATTTTGAACATCAACTTCTATTGATTAAAGGAATAAGATTACTAAGCGACAAAAGGAACCAATATTAGTAGATAATACTGATATTGCTCATGTCTTACTTTAAGAATATATTTTGCATTTTGTCCATTTCTATAGGTGGTCACTGGTAATTGATTTTCATATGTCGATTTGATTTTTTTTTCATTATTTTATCATTATAGTGTAAATCAGTAATCAAAGATCTACGATAGCTTGCACATCAGCGCATATCATTTAGATCTATAGTTGGAACTGATGCTTTCAGATTTTAATCATTAGATGGAATATTTCCAGAGCTGTTAAATGAAAAAAACGAACTTGATATTGAATTAGTGAATTCGTTCAACTTATATATCCAAACTTATACAGTACCATCAAAGTACAAATATGAAACATAAAGGTTTGTTCTCTGTTCGTGAGCAGAAAGCTAAGTGATACGTGTGTAATATAATTTACATAATTTTAGTGACAAAAAGGTTTAGTTCGAATGATTAGAATTCGTCGATGGTAGTTAACAAAATCAAATTTTTATTTTGAATTATTGCATAATTTATCGAGTTTTCTGGACGGAGAAATAAAACATATTCATGAAAATAAATACGATAACCTGATGTATGGACGAAAAGACCAATACAATGGAATGGAACGCTTATTAGAGGTGGCTATCTTTGTAAAGAAATAAAATCAAATACAGTGATGTAGTTATTTTTATACAGGTTTACAATGGTGGATACGTATCATTTTATTTTGATTTGATTTGCTTTGCTTTTCTACAAATAATAGTAAGTTAATTATAATGCAAATGACATTACAAGAGAAAATATTTATTTATTTAGGATTTCGTTGTTAGCCGTTTAGTTAAAAAGAACACGACAAAAATAAGAACATATCCATTGACGAATGTTTTGCAATGTAGTAGTTTGGAAGAGAAATTCGATATCTTTCCTTAATGCAATATTGGTAAACACTTTGCTGTATATACACTATCCTTAAATATAGACAAACAATATTTTCTTCAGATACCTTCATTTTGTTGTCATTCGTGATTGAAAAATAAAAACCAGACAAATATAACATCGAGCTATTTGTTAACATTCGTTTTAGAGCTTAGGAAAGAACACACGTAAGAGGCTTAACGATATTGTCAAAGAAGACAAGAAAAATATTTGAAAAACGTTAGCAGTCGCTTAAAGTTCAACATAAAGTTAATTAATTAACATCTTTATATTTAAAAAGATTTCAGAAAGTGTTTTGAAAATATGTAATGAGCTAAACCTAATTGGGTTTAGTGCAAATTGAATGGAGATACTGTGCACTTACTTCATCAGAAATTTAAAAATCAGGAAATTGGTTTTTTACAGTGTAACTTTGAATAATATTTGCTTTTTGTTAAGTATCAAATTCCTAGACTACGAAAATAAAAACAAATTGTTGTTTTTTATTCAATTATTTATTTATTAATACATCTACGAAAGCAATTCTTTAAAAGACGAAGCATGTAAAATAGCCAAGAGTAAAAAAATAAATGGCATAATTTTTTTAAATTTTGTAAAAAGTATACTAAATAGTTTGCCGTATATGCTAAGAGTTGGATCCGGTTCTCGATTTTCAATAGCTACTCGATGCATCTGCCAATTGTGCCAGAAAATTCCGACGCTTGAACGAGTTCCCGTTATTGGTATATAACTGAAACACTGACTCCCTCTAATATCATATTGCAATGCTCGTGCATCTTTATCAGCAATTTTTTGATCGAGTAAGATTTGTGGTAAATTAAATTGAATGCAAACAGGTCGAGCGATACCAACAAAGTCACATGCATCAGAGTGAATAGCATCATTCATACCTTCACGAGTTCGAAATCCACCAGTAACTATTAAAGGAATCTTTGTAGTGTTACGAACTTTGGCAGCAAATTCAATAAAGTAAGCTTCTCGTCTTTTAGTTCGTTCTGCTCGAGTATCGTGTTCAGATCCAGTCATAGCAGGAGCTTCGTAAGTTCCGCCAGAAATTTCAATAAAATCAATACCACCATGTTCATCAATCCATCGAATTTGATCATATGATTCTTCTTCTGTTAGTCCACCAGTACTAAAATCAGCTGAATTGAGTTTAACACCGACAGCAAAAGTTTGAGGAACGATTGCTCTAATAGCATCAACGATTCGAAATAAAAATGTCATTCTATCTTTTGGTGTTGCTCCATATTCATCGTTTCGTCTATTTGTTTTTGGCGATAAGAAACTACTAATCAAATAACCATGACTACCATGAAGTTCTACACCAGCAAAACCTGCTTTAACCATGATTTCTGCTGCTTCAACAAATTTCAAAACAGTCTCATCGATTTGAGTCCGAGTCATTTCATTAGGTGTGCAGATGACTAGACGTCGTAAAGTTCGAGCAAAAATATTATTACCAATAGATAATGGAACCGGACTGGGAGCAATTGAAGGTTCTCTAAACGGTCTTTTGCCTGAAGGTGATTGACGGCCTGCATGATTAATTTGAACAATAGTTGGTGTACCATGACTTTGACAAACATTTGCATACCGTTTCCATTTGTCAATATCAATTTTATCTTGACCTGGAATCATCATATCTGTCATGAAGCCTGGATAGCGTTCATCGATTTGAACATTGCCGGTTAATATGAGACCAAATGATCCTTTTGCCCAACGCTCGTAAAGACGATAGATATATTCATTAGGTTGATTATCATCACTGCCGAGCATCTCTTCCATGGATGCTTTGACAATTCTATTAGACAATTTGAGTCCACATGGCAGTTCAAATGGTTGTGCAATAGGCATTTCATTTTGTGACATGATTGATCAATTAGACTATAGTAGTATCAAAAATACACAAAATGACAAACGAATCAACGAAAAGAACACAAAGTACCTAATCACTCTTGTTCTGCTAGTCCACCCAGGGAAAAAAATGAAAAAAATTGCATTAAAATGATGAAATGGGCAAAAACATGCATGTTTTTGTCCATTTCATCATTTTAGTACAATTTTTTTCCTGTTTTTGATATAAAATTCATGAAACGCATGCAATTTTTTTCATTTTTTATTCCCTGGACAATGAATCATATGAAGAAGACTCCATCATAAAGTCAATAAATGACTTTATATTGCAAATAAATAATTTACTTATTGAATATGGCCCCGAACAGACCGACTAATTAAAAGTGAATTAAAACTGAATTAACGAATAAATCGTCTCAAAAAGACGATTTAAATCGAAATAGACCAATCACGTAGCTTAATTTGTTTTATTTTTTTCAGTCTGTTCGGGGCCTATCTGATCTTTATTTATGATTGTCTTTCCTTGTTAGCAACTACTAACGAATACTAATGGCATCACAAAGATGTCACTGAATGCTGAAGAATAAATACATCACGAAAGGTTCTACTTATAGTTTATTTTTATTTGTGCTTAAAGGATAATAGAGATTAATCTTTTATCAGACGTAATAAATATTAAATATATATAAATATTTATTATATACATAATTTTGATGTATCCGTAAATATTTGATGGTAATCATAAAGAGCAATTACTTTGAAGAATTCGAAAGTAGTGGTAGCGATACTCTAATATCGTATAGAAAGCTCGAGAAAACTTACTCTCTATATGCACTGATAGTAAAAACAATGTTCTATACTTCTGAAATGCTTCATTATTTCATTATTCTTCAACTGATGTCATAGTAATAAAGTTTGAAAAAAAAGCGATGATTGTTGTAATATGTGACGATAACACCGATGTCTATTTCAAAGAAAAAAGGCTAATGCTATCTTTTTCAGATAACTTTTGATAGAAGTAAGACAGAGAGCTGCAAATTTGATCTTAAAAAGAGAAGATGAAGGCTCATCGAATCATATAGTATAGGCTTTTATAATTTCTTTCCTGAAGCTTTGATTAATTAGTTTTCTAAGAAAAAAAAGTTCCGTCAAATGTTTTTTATGGAGAGAAAAAAAATCAAACTATTTTTTTTCACTGAAATTGCTAGAAAAATCGATCTAGGCTTTCAATCAGCATATCAATAAATCCTAAATGATTAAATCTAAACATACAAGCCTTGCACAATTTTGTGGATCTTCGATCAGTCGTTGAAATTCACAGCTGATAATTGAAAATTTACTGAAAATACATCATGGAGTACGTGTGTTTTCCGAAAAGATCTATCAGAAACTCAAAAAAGTCCAAGCTAACAAAGCCGTAAGATTTAATTCAGTGAGTCTTTATCTCCCTTGCTAAAAATGAAAATCGCCGCCCTATATTTTCTTCCTATCAAAAGTTATTTAAAAACAGTATGGTTCGTCTTCTTTTTTCCTTTGAAGTGGAGATTACTTTAACTACTATCATATTAGTTGAAGAATTATAAAATATTGCAAAAATACAGAATTTTTTCTATATTGTCAGTGCATACAAGTAGAAAGTTTCCTTAAAATTTCTATATGGTATTAAAGTACCACTACTAAGACATCTAGATTGCCGCAAATAATTTATCAATATTTTAAAATTTACAAAAATGTCTTAAATCATTCATCTATCGAAAGCTTATGAAAATATTCTTAGTTGTAAATTACGTACACTCAGTGTGTTTTATTATTAATATTTGTTTTTTTGAGAAAGTAAATTACGAACATAATTTACATGAAAAAAAAAACAATAAATACTGCTGAAGTAAGAAAAGTTAGGAATTTCCATTGAAATTAAATTTTGGAAAATTTAAAATTAACCAACTTATCGATGTTATTAAAATAATTCGATGAGCCAATAAACGATGACGAATGCATTGATATTGAGTTTGTTTTTTGAATAAATACATATATCGATGAAAAGCTCCCAAACAAATAAAACTAATAAATCCAAATGAAGCCAATGAAAAGAAAAATGCTGAAATTGGACAATGAAGATCCAGATTGGTCGATGTTTTAATATAAACAACAATGACGATACTATGAGTGAATAATATATTAATTAAATGACAAAAATCAAATAATGTTTGTACGAAAATATGATGTGAAAATGGTTTCTTATGAAAATATCGTCGAATTAAAATTTCCATATGCAATATGGTACCCATTAAGCTCACAATACAAAGAATTAGACTTATAAATACTTGAAAATTATTGTTAATTAGTGTAATTTCATCAATTAATGACGATGATCGATGAAAATTGTAAAATTGTTTGCTGTATATAACGTTCAAATATTGATTCTTTGATTTATTTTTAGTTAGAATATTTGATGAGTTACCAACATGACTATGTTGAGACATGATTTTGTTCAACGAAAAAAAAAAATGCCACCTCACGTTATTAACATATAATTAATATTTTATACGAGTTTAAAAAAAAACAAAAGTATGAATGGATTATGAATAGGATATAAAATGAGATGAAAGCCAACAAGAAACCTAATTAATTCTTGTTTGATGGAAACAAACTGTATTGGTTGATTTATTATTCAAGTTAAAATAATGATAAATAAAATGTAACAAATTTCATGAGCAAAAAAAAGTAATAACATACAGTATTTTTTGTGAAAAGAATTTTTATTCTTTAAAATGATTGAGAGAATTTAAAGAAAGCAGCCTAACAAATGAGATCCTCTTATTGGCTAGAGAGCATGACGGAGAAGAGTCAGAAGATAAAGTTTAAATTTGATGCCTCTTATCTTTCTTCTTTCTTTGATGATTAAAAATTGACTTATATGTCATTTTATTCATGCAATTACTTTTTTCTATTCGGTACTGATGTCCTTAAATAATCAAGATATAATTAGAAATAAATATCATGTCTTCTAATAGATATGTGCAAAGTAGAAGAGATCTAGCCTTTAATTGAACATTAGCACGATAGATAAAGAGATCAACTAATTTGAATAGATGATTTTGAAGAAAAACAACAGCAAAACTAAGAATATAGTGATGTTGAAGACGAAATAAAATATATCAAATGCCATTTTTATTAAATGAAATGGAAAGATCTAATTTGAGATAAAAAGGATTTCTTTAATATGGAAACTAACAATTTATTGCTTGCAATATCCGTTTAACTCAAGGTTATTTAGTGTATTTCTTTTTATTCATTGAATTTATGAATACTTAACTTAATCTGAATATTCGTCTAACGAGAAACAGATCAATTATGACCATCTTTTACATGATTGAGATCTTATTTCTAAGTATCAAACAATTGTAACGGTTGGTGCAAAAGTCTCTAGACAAAATGCTTATTCATTTTTTACCCATTTGAAATTATTCTAGATGAATAAAACATGAAGGTTGAAATTCAGAACTTTTTGCTCTTTCTATATATGGACTCAACAAAATTTACGACTCTTTTTGCTCAAGAATAGTGAGAAGATTTTTGGAAGGTCTGAAAAAAATTCGTTTGAATGGCAAATTGTTTTGTATGTTGATTATTGAAATTTGAAACTAAACGTTTGAAACTTTTGTTCATATATCTGCTTGTAGAACAAAATCTGCTCTACGAAATACATTATTTGACTTTCTATTTTTCTTCCGATAAAACATATTAAACTGTTGTTTTTCTATCATATTTATTTTTGAAAATTTTTTTTGGAGAAATAATGTTTCACACTGCATACAGTTTTTGAAAAAAATGCATATAGCTTCAGTTTGGGTACAGATAACAGTTTAGTTTAATACCGAATTTTGTTAACAAGTGTTTGATTTACAAAACTACTAGGTTCAAAAACTCTTAGCATCCTCGCCAAAGGACTTATAGAATTAGCAAGAATCTGCTCGTCTACTATCGTAACTAATTTTTCATAACTTTGAAAGATTCTCTCACTATTCTCGAGCAAAAGCAAACAGAAAATTCTTGAGACCATATTAAAAAAGAGCATAGAATTCTATTTCTAACCAACAGTGTTTCATCTGTGAAGAATACTTTCAACTGATTCAATCATAAACAATTTTTTTCTATCTAGAAACTTGCGCATCACCCGTTATATTCGAAATTCTGCAAAAAACAAATAAAATCTTGTGTCTTCTTGTAATTCCTGGTGCTTGTTGATTCAACGAAGTCATACAATAATATCTACAAATATCATTGAATCTTATGATCATGTTTAAGTTTTTTGAAATTCATTTATTTTTTGTTTAATTGAAAGATTAAAATACATTAGATGTTTTGGGAAAAAAAAAGTTTCAAGAATGAAGTTTTTTTTCTGATTTAATTATCTTTTACATTAACTGGCTTTGTTGGTTCATTTTTGAACTATGTAAATTAATATTGTTCTAATTTTTCATCAAATGTTAAACGGACGTGATAAAACAAATCATTCTTCCCATGTTTGACATATAGTTTGTACAAGTATGATAGTTATATGCAAAGCATAGGAAATAACTTTTGTAAACATTGATAAATGATTAAAGAAGATAAATACATAGGCCAGTATCCATTCAGGAATACAGTGGACTCGGTTGTAAGTTGAATAACTTTTGAAAAAAAGCAACCTCAAGAGCTGCGATTGTCAGCATTCGAAAGAGAACGGATAACTGTATCAAAATATGTAAAAATCAAACGATCTCCTGAGAAATTTTCCCATCACCTATTGACTTTTAAAATAGTCATTCGATAGAGAAAATCACGTTCTTTCGATCTACACAAGATCAATCTGTCCAGGTGGATTTGTTGCCAAGATATAAGCATTTTTTTGAGACGCCCAAAATTGACCAATTGACCACTGGTCAGTCTGGAGTGAATCGATATAGAGTTTCGGTCATTCTGAAACAAGTGAGGGTATTTTTTTCTGTTTTAAAACAAGATGAAAAAACCCG